GTGTGTGTGTGTGTGTGTGTGTGTGTGTGTGTGTCTGGAGGAGATAAAAACAAGAATTCATATCCATGATCCGTTCGCTTGATAAATTATTCAGAAGACTCTGTTCTTATTTAAAACACTGACATGATGTAAAATATAAACCAGCGTTAGTTTGTATGAAAAACATTTTTAATTACTTAAAAAGTCTCTAAAAATAACTATAGAAAAATCATAAAATCAAAGTGTCCCCGGTGGCTGTTTCATGACTGAAAAAATATTTAATTGTTGATTTTTCATCGTCATGGTCCTCTCCTCCTCCTCCTCCTCTTCCTCCTCCTCCTCCTCCTCCCCCTCCTCCTCCTCTTGTCCATGTCTGAGGTGGAACCTCTTGACAGCATCAGTGTGGGCGGAGCCCCGATGATCTCGGCTCAGTGGAGACACGACCACGTGAGCCTATATTTAGGATTAAACCACGACCGCTTCAATTTCGTCGTATCTGTTCCGCACCCCTCCCTGAGCAGTCTGTTACCATGGAAACCACGGCCTGGCTGCTCCCCGTCTCTTCCTGCTTCTCTTTGAAGACGTTTTCGTGACCTACATCACCTAATCCCGCTCCTCGTTCACTTCTCCGTCTGTGGGTTCATGAACTGAAGCGGTGGTTCATTAGCACAACCAGATCAGCAGCATCAGAATGTGTAGCTGAGAATTTAACTTTTCTTTCTTAAAATCTAAAACTTTCTTTTGACCTGAACCTTTTTGGAACTTTAAATGTGTCGTCAGGGAAACGGCAGCACAAACCATCTGCTGCTTCCTGACATTTTACCAACAAGGCGATCAGCAGATCTATACAGGAAGTAATTTACTGACAATGTTACAGCCGCTTCCTGCAGCTCTGACGTTTCATCACCACGTTTTCATGACGTCCTTTACGCCACATGAGGAATGATCGGTTATGTAGATAAAATGTAGATTATGTCTCTTTTCTTGTTGGTTGCAAATAAATAAGTATTTAATTCTTCATTACTTTAGGTGTCTGTGGTCCTACAGGACCCAGAGATTGTTTAATTTTGCATAACTTTTATGTTACCGGCACTGGATGACTCATCCCCGCTGATACTCTAAATATCTAAATATTAAAATCAAGTTGAGGCGGGACCCGTTTTTTCTTTTCCTATTTTTGATCTGCGCAAAAAATCCAAACTACGAAAAACAAACTGTTATTGAACGACTTGTTTTTTGATAGGGTTAGGGTTCGCTCACACGCTGCGATTCTGCTCTTTGTTTTTGTTTCGAGAGACTCGAGGAACACGTGGAAGCAGAGGGAGCCTTTAAATGGACACTTTGAGGTTTTCCTGATGGATGTAAAAACCCAATAAGGTTGTGATGAAGTCACTGACCACAGGCTCCAATAAGAGGCGTGTCTGAAATCGTAGCTCCGCCTTTCAGCAGCGAAGACATCAACAACTTAAAGCGTATTTGACAGAAGTCGAGAAGTCGATGATTTTGCACTAAAACAGTGAAAAGATGTAATGTTTCTTCAGATGTCTTTATCTGAACGTCCGTTTCAGCTTCACGATGGAATAAAGAGTCAAGAAGTCCACAACACGAACTGACGATAAACGGTCTTGTGTCCGAACGTCTGGCACCTCCCCCTGGCCACAGAGTGGAATAAGGGGCGTGTTCAGAGGTTCAGCCCTCGCAGATGGAGGCTCACCAACACTCGCCAGAAAGCAGCAGTGAGGAGTGCACCGTCCTGGAGGCTCCGCCCGGAAAAAACGCCTGCCCACAACACGCAGGGAACGTATGTATATACAGCCACTGTATATAAAGATGATCAGTGTGTGAGAAGACCATCGGCGACTGTGTGTGTGTCTTTGTGTTATTTCACTCTCCAGGTGGCTGATCTGTACTGTTCGGCCTGTGAGTGTGCGCTGTGTGATGACTGCGTGTCGGACCATGAGGAGCACCCCAGGGTGCCGCTCTGTGAGGCCCTGGAGCAGCATCGTCTCAGTCTGCAGGAGAAGCTGGGGTTCGTCCAGAACAGGTGATTCTATAGATATTGATACTGGGCACACGTATCTGCTGTGGTGAACAGATGATTAACAATAAATGACCAATGCTGAAAGAACCTTCAACACTGCTTTGTCCTCACCTTGAAACTCCCACTTCCCTCTGCATGTCTTCTTCCAGACTCCCTCAGATTTCAGACGCCCTGTCCTTTGTTAAGGAGATCCTCCAGCAGCTGACCAATCAGAGGGCTTCCATTGAAGAGGACATCCAGTCCAGCTTCGAGGACCTGCACAAGCAGCTGGACGTCCGGAAGAGTGTTCTGCTCATGGAGCTGGAGGTCACATATGGACTCAAGCAGAAGGTGCAAACAAGTCCAGCAAGTGTCAAACATGTCAAGGGGGTTAAAAACTAAATTGTGGCTGACACAGCAGTGCAACTTCTCCTGTCACTGTGAAACTTTACTAAATTTATACCGTCTCTGTGGCCAGGTCCTCCAGGCACAGGTTGACAACCTGGTTCGGGGAGAGGGGGACATTAGTGCTATCTGTACCCAGACGGAGGAGGCTCTGGCTGGGGAGGCATGTGTGGCGAACCTGCAGGCAGAGCGGGAGCTCGGGGAGAGACTGGCGGGGCTGGTCGGTCTGGGGATGCCATGTCAGCCAGAGGAGAACGACCAGTTGGATCTGGTGATGGAGACCGACGTGCTGAGGAAGTCCATACACAACCTGGGGACAATCGTCACGACCAGGTGAGACTGAAGCAAAAAAATACATTACAACATCGTTGTCTCTTTCTAATGAATCTCCCTCTTCTTCCTAGTGCGGTTGCAAGCCAGAGCGAGGCAATGGGTGCTGGCCTGGAGCAGTGCATTGTGGGACATCCTGCCTCTGTTACCATTGTAACCAGAGATAAGTCAGGGGGAGCCTGCAAGAGTGGCAATGCGATCCTGTCAGCTGAGGTTCATTTTACATCCCACAGTCAAACAAAACATCTGTGGACACACCCACAAGACCCCTAAACACGTACTCATGTGTTGTTCCAGGTTTTCACCCCAGATGGCAGCATAGTGGACGGGGAAATTATGGACCACAAGAATGGCACTTATGAGTTTGTGTACACGGTGCCGAAGGAGGGCAACTTCTCGCTTGCACTTCGTCTGTACGACCAGCACATCAAGGGGAGTCCCTTCAAACTGACCGTCAGCAGGACCCTGGAGGTCGACGTCGAGGTGGATGGTGTAAACCTTAAATCTTTATATAAACTCATCTACTGTCCACGTGTCCAACGTGACTAAGCACCAGAATCATGTCATCCTCAGCTGTGATGATGTATGGCTACTGTCCAAGGTTTGCTCAAAACAAACACGCTCCTCAGATGTGTCATCCAACCATCAGGGCAGGACGTGTCCGCACAAAGTGATATTTGTCTGGTGACACTGAATGAAGCTGGTGTCACTGTCCGATTTGTCAGTTTCAGAAAAGCAACAAAATGAATTCTGCAGCAATAACATGCCCCTAAACTCAAATGTTGGAAAAGTGTGGGGGTAGGAGTTTTGTGATGCAGTTCTACAAACATTTTGATTGAAGCCTGATGATTCTGTTGTGACACTGCTACTGCTACTACACAGTTTCATAACCAAGAAGATTCCCTAGTCAAACCTTTTGCCAGTGTGCTAACATTTACTCACCTCATTTGAAACCTGGGGAAGGCAATACTCAACATTTTCACATGTTGTCAATTTCCATTGTTCTCCTGCTCCGCCTGTTGCAAGAAGATTGATTAATCCCCTGAAATGAACACTTATCTTTTCCAACTGTTGCTGTCGCTTCAGGTGTCTCCCTCCACCACCACAGCAACCAGCTCAGCAGCCAACGCCACCCCATCTACAGGCTCCTCTGATGGGACCAAGAGAAGAGGGAAATCCCCCGGGCAGAAGAAGAAGGGCTCTAAAAGGGCAAGCAGTGCCCTGGGCACCCCAAGACGTAAAACTCAGAACCCCATTGAGGATGACCTCATCTTCAGGATTGGTGAGACAATCATCTGGACTAAATAATCTGAGCACTTGTACATGAGAAAATATCCTGTAGTGGTTTAACACAAATGTCAAACCTAAAACTGAACCATGTGACCAGTGGACCTTCTAAACTAGATGTCAGGGTCAGAAGTTTGACTACAAGTATTTCTCCACATCAGTTTCATTTCTTCTTTTCTTCAGGAACAAAGGGGAGGAACAAGGGAGAGTTCACCAACCTTCAAGGAGTGGCTGCCTCATCCAACGGCAGGATACTGATCGCCGACAGCAACAATCAGTGTGTCCAGGTAAAATACAGTTTGTCCAGGGTTCACATCTTCTCACTGAGGGGTCAGTCTGAGGGGTCAGTCTAGGTTAAGGCATTCTGTCTATGAGGGTCCTCACAAGTGTGTCCCAACTCCAGATTTTCTCCAACGAGGGGGAATTCAAGACTCGTTTTGGGGTGCGAGGACGGTCACCAGGGCAACTGCAGCGCCCTACAGGCGTGGCCGTGCACCCCAGTGGTGACATTATTATTGCCGACTATGACAACAAGTGGGTCAGCATCTTTTCCTCCGAGGGCAAGTTCAAGGTATGTGTGTAGAAGACGGGGTAATAAGTATCAGTGTAAAACTATGAACTGGTTGAATGATTCCTCGTCCTCACTGGTTCTGTTTGCTTTCCACCAGGCGAAGCTTGGCTCGGGCAGACTTATGGGTCCAAAGGGTGTGTCTGTGGACCAGAATGGTCACGTCATCGTGGTTGACAACAAGGCGTGCACTGTCTTCATCTTTCAGCTGACGGGCAAGCTCATCACCAAGTTTGGGAGTCGAGGCAATGGTGACAAGCAGTTCGCAGGTAGAGCTTGTTCACAGATAGATGAATAAAAAACACCACAAGAAGAACACTTGCATGTTTTGTACTTTTCTGATAAATGTGAATCACACAAATTACTGTCACTTGAACATTTCTTGCTAACAGTCACTGCTCTTACTTTTAGACCATCGTTTTCTTCGTTCGTGGTATTTTCTGTAACTAAGCAACCAACTGCAGGGTAGAAAACCTGTGAGTCTGGACATGGATAATAACTGATAGGGAGTGAAAACACTCGTGTTTAGATAGATTGCTTTAGTTTTATAGTATGGATGTAGCTTAAAGGTTGTAGAATGTGTAGAATTCAGTGACATCTAGTGTTGCAGTGTCAGGTTGTAGCTGAACACCCCTCCCCTCCCCCTCTCCTTCCAAACGAAGAACCTGTGGCAGCTTCAGTCGTCATAAAAACTCAAAAGGTTTTAGTTTGTTCAGTCTGGACTAATGTAAAAAACATGGCGGCCTCCGTAGAGAGGGTCCCCTCCGTGTAAATATAAAGTATTTGAATATAAAGTATTTAAATATAAAGGGCCTTCTCTGGGGTAAAGAAAACTACAATTCCTACAATTTAGATAAAACGAACTAGTGAGAATGATTCTATGTTAAATTTCTGCCAATAGATACTTTCACCTAAATCTTACACACTGGACCTTTAAGTGTAAACTCAAGCGTCGCCTGAAAGCAGGTGAAGTGTAAACAGAGCATTAAAGGTGGCAGTGTGTGTGAGCTCTTACAGCAGCTGAAGTGTTAGTTAAAATCACTTCAGGTGCTAACAGTGGAAATGCAGCTAAGTATCTGTTGAAGTGATGAAAGTAACTGAAGTGGAATTGCTGAAAGACGATCTGCTGTTTCTCTTCTCCTTTCCTGAAGGTCCACACTTTGCAGCAGTGAACAAGAACAATGAAATCATTGTGACCGACTTCCACAACCACTCTGTCAAGGTACTGACTAAACGTTGCAGACTTTTGTTTTGCTTCATCAGGACACATAAACATAGATTCTGATGGTTCTTGTCTTTCTCTGACTCGTCAGGTTTTCACCCCCGAGGGAGAGCTGGTGTTGAAATTTGGCTCAAACGGTGAAGGGAACGGCCAGTTCAACGCTCCCACCGGCGTCGCTGTGGATGTTAATGGGAACATCATTGTAGCTGACTGGGGCAACAGCAGGATACAGGTGCAACAGAGCTGTGCATTTTTAACAACATTTAAGGATGAGAACTATTGTAATCATTTCCTCGATCTGTTCCAACATTTCTAGGTGTTTGACGGCAGCGGTTCCTTCCTCTCCTACATCAACACATCGGCGGACCCTCTGTATGGACCCCAAGGTCTGGCTCTGACCTCAGACGGACATGTGGTAGTGGCCGACTCTGGCAACCACTGCTTCAAAGTCTACCGCTACCTACAATGATGACAGAGAGGTGAAGGCAGGAGAGATGGTCGGGAGGAGCAGTTGTGGGGAGGAGAGATCAGATCCACGATGTCAAACTCCAGGAATTATTGCATGAACCTCTTTTGTTGAATGTAACGATGGAAGGAGGGATGGGTAGAAGCCAGGACAAACAAAGGAGGAGGAATAATAATGAAAATAAGAGCAAGTATTGATTCCTTTTGATGAAGTGATCAGAAAAATGGAGATGTGGATTGCAGGGACCGGAGGCACCAACGCTGATCTTTGAACTACACCCTTTAAAAGTCTAAAGAGTATGAAGTGGCAGACAGTAAGATAAAAATGCTCTGCCTTATGCAAATGTGACATCCATCACTGAATGGGATGCATGAGGGATGCAAGGCGTAAGGAGAATAAACTGTGATGCAACGATGGATTAATGACGTCAAAAATAAAGACAGCAAGAGGGGACGATAAAAACATCTTTGGAAACCTTAATGATGGATAAAGGGATCGCAATCGCATCAGAGGCATGAATGACCGAAGGATTCGTAGAGAACAGGAAGGATGAACAACAGTTTTCTATTGTTCCACTTTCTTGTATTGTATCTACAAGGTAAAATGATGGCCAGTGAACTAAAAGGGGTCCATGTCTTGGTTTGGTTTTCCATGTCATATATTTCAGCTCCATCATTTGTACAGTGACATCAACTCTAACATTTGGAGGCTAATTTGACAACATACCAACTAAGGCGACATCCACACGACTACGTTTTAGTTTCACACTGTTGCTCTGGCTAAGTCTGGCGTCCACGCTACTCAGGAGTCTTCGAGAGACTAAAACGTAGAAGTTTGTAAATGCTGCTGGTCTCGATTTAGTTTGAAAACTCTTGTGTTAGAAACTGAGACTTTTATCAACCAAGGCCCCCCTACGTTCTCTTCCTGATTGGTTCTTATCAGTCACATGACTCGACTACCAGTGGTGAAAATAAACCATGCTAACACTTCCTGTCAGTAACAGTTCCACCTCGTTGTCGTTCCAAGAAAAGAAATCCCTGCTCTGACTTTCACCATCACTGTTCCTCCTTCAGAGGAGTTTCTGTAACTAAGCAACCAACAGCAGAGTAGACGATCTACTTCCTGTTTACATCACATGACCAGTGAACGTGAACTGTCATGTGATGTGCGTTTTCAGGTGAACAGAGATTATTTCTGTATTCGTGTGGATGTGGCCATGGAGCTTGTCAGGGTGCGTGCAACACGTATGGAGTTTGAAACTGTTTCTTCAGAAGTGGATCATAGTTGTTCTGTGAAGTTTCCAGGTTAAATCTGTAAATATGAAACAAGGGAATGGTCAAAGGGCACCCAGCCGTATTTCCTTTGACTGTATTATAGAGTCACGATGTTTTCAGAGTCATGAAGAAATCACGAGACGACTAAGACATGGGCCACTTTTAACCTGCTGTCCCTTGTTTGTACATTAGGATTGTCTGAAAATGGAATGTTTCTTTTTTGCCATATGCTAATATTCTTTACAAGTCGTGGGCAATAGATTCGTAATTAGAAATGATTGCTTGACTCTGATTGTTTGAATGGGATGATTGACAAGCACCATTGTCTATCTTTGCTTGCTTTGAGTGTTATATTTTTCCTGAGAAATCTGTCGCAAGGAAGAAAGAAAAAAAAAATCATAAATCTATCCTATATATTTGTGAGAAAACATTTAATAATTTCATGTAAAATGTTCAAAGTAATCTGCATATTTGGAACAAGCAACAGTTTTACACACTGGTTTCTGTTCGCAGGGGAAGAGAGAAATATGGAATGTTTAGATTCATTCCACCCCCACCAATGATTCTAGAATGCATTAAGAATTGTGCTGTTGCCTGCTTGTACAATTCCACATGGTCCGTCATCTACCAAAAAAAAAAAGTCCCTCAGTGTTCTAGAAGCATGCCTCTATGTGATTGTCGATATCAAACATACCCGATTTAACTAGTAGCTCCCATTTTACAAACAGTTCACCCTCACCTCAGCAGATTTACAGTAATGTTAACTCCAGTAAAGGACGATTGCAAATCATCAAGACTCGTTACGTTTGGAAAAGTGCTGCATCATAATAGTACAAAGCATTTATGATAATTATTGAATCTACAAGAAAAGCATTTAAGTAACTGACGTGAACTCACAGCTGGACAGTTTAACGGTCAACACTGAAAATACTGAAAAAGTGAAAAGTGAAGAATGTCTGTGTAGAACGAACAGATGCTCGTGGTAGAGGAACAACTGGTGGTCAGTTGTTTACAGTATGACGTCTTTATTGAAGCAGGAATAAGAATAATCAATAATGTGAATACTCTTTGTTCACAAAAGATCAAATGCATTTTATTAGTTTGTTCATTGTTCATCTTATTAGGTATTTTAATCTTTCTATTTTACCATCGGATTGTGTTTCACCACGTGCATTGAAGTTCTTAAGTGCCCATTATATTCTTTGCTTTTATACATATTTGATCTGTTGTGTTGAATCATATATGATTGTTGGACTTTGCTCCTTTTTGTTGTTGTTCTTTGAGGACGAATCAGTGTTAAAAGTTTTAATCCTAGTTTTGGTCAAAAGGAAGTTGTCATCCCGCGGAGGAACCAAAGTTAAAAACACACAGAGCTGTTAGTGCTGATGAGGTCAGGAGGTTCATTTTCTAAGAAAGTGTGCAACTAGATACAAGCTAACGTGCAATGCTGAATGCTAACAAGGCTCGTCATTAGTATCTCAGCTAACTTATAACAAAATGTCTTAACAGTGACAAGTGCATAATTAACTATTGTCATTACATTGAATAACTTTATTTAAAGGCACAAAGTCTTTTTTTGCGCAACAGACTTTTGAGTTTCTGGTCATCTGGGTTCCGCTGAATATTCAGCCTTCGAAATATATGAATGTTGTTTATAAGATTGCCTTCAGTAATCCGGATCTTAAATAAAAAATAAGTTGCTAATTCACAGATTACTCGTCCATTTGAGGGAACGTTTCACCATTTAGAAAATGTTCAAGAAACAAAACCAACCAGACATGCTATGTTTATCATTACAAGTGTTTTAGTGTGACTTAGATGCTTCATTGTTGGTTTGGACCATGACATGAACAACACTGAACACTTTTTTCCTCAAATGGATCTGTAATGTTTCAGAGAACAGCTCTGAAAGCAGCATTCAGTTTCTTACAGCTTCACTTTGCCTGCTCTTCCTCTCTGTGTATTTACTATCTATCATGTCTGTTCACTGTTATCAACCATCTCTTCAATATTCACAATATTCAACACGGAAATAAAGCATCACTTCCTTAACGGGAGCCAATCATTGAGGTTTATGGACGTTTGATGTGTGATTGTTTATGTGTTGACAAGCCGCACCCCCCACCCCCACCTGCCACATTCAAATGGGAATGAGTGAAGAAGACCAGGGTCAATCACATGATCATTACTGGTTTTCCAACATGCAAAAAAGGCAAAGTCCTGTTTATTTTACACACGTACACGAGAACCACATAAATCATCATCGGGTATCTGGACAGGACACCTGTGTCCGACAGTCTGCTGAGACGCAGGAAAAGGAAATTAAACACAAGGAAATTCGATTCAGCAGGTTTGCGGTTATTTAATAAATTACAACTACTTCTACTAGTATAAATATAGTCTTCGAAAAACTCGGTCTTATTTAGGAAAGACTGAGTCGTGTTTGCGTTGAGTTCTTGTGTGATTGCAGATGTTGACTCTGAGAGGTCCATGAAATTGCGTCTATGTCAGGAATTTCAAACTTTCACCGTTGGAATACTTGATTTACTTTGTCATTGTGTCCTTAGAAGAGGACTATTATCTACACCACGTCACGACATTGAGAAAGAGGGGGGGCACACCCTTCACAGGTCGGCAGTGAATCCCAGTGTCAAAGCTCATTTTACGATTTCAACAGAAACAGGACAGTGTTGTGGGAACACTTCATCAGCAGAAGCTAATTTTACTTGATGTTCTTTCTGTATTTTGCTCAATTTTAATTGTGTAAACATATCCATAAGTAAGCTTTCGTCTTCTGCACACCTCCACTTCACATCCTCTTTTTCTTGTCTTCCTTCACAGGCCATGACTGTCGACTCCTCTTCTCTCAACGTCACCTTTGGCCCTGCTCCCATCTCCTCCTCCAACTCCTCCCTTTATCCTCTCTACGTTAATTGTCAATTTGCCGAAACAGGCACTGTCATGTTCATATGCTTCACCTCCGCCAACATCCTCCTGCTCCTCCCTCTCTACATCCTGGTTCTCTACACGGGGGTCCAGCAATGGTGGTGTCAGCGCTCCGTTAAGGGAGGAAGATCAACAAGTCAATCGGACCTCTTAACCTACCACATGGTTGCGATGGAGCTTGTTGGTCTCTTCGGATTAGTCTCCTACAGTTATGGAATCTCCACAGACTTTAGGAAGATGCTGAGGTTGGGGACTTCAGTATTCTGCTTTTTCTTCCCTGGACAGAGTTTATTTCACTGCCTTGCCTGTCTGGAGCACTACCTGGCTATTGTTCATCCCATCACCTACTTGCACCTGAAGGAAACCAAGATCGGAAAAATTTGCGTTGGTTGTGTTTGGCTGCTGTGCTCAGTGTGGATTGCTGTAAGAGCTTTTTGTTGCCATAGTGTTCCAACCGTCTGGTTTCTCTGCATCTTGGGCTTTTCCGTAATCCTGGCGTTATTCTGCAATCTTTCTGTTCTGCGTGTTCTGATTCGGCCCAGGCCAGGGGAGGTGGGTGGAGGCAGGGATGGGGTTGACCAATCAAAGCAGAGAGCTCTCCGCATCATCATGGCTATATTCGGAGTACTATTGTCCAGATTTGTTGGATTTTTCCTGTCGTTCAGTTTAACAAATTTGATCTTACTACGTAGAGATTTATGTGTGTTGCTGAATTGTGGAATCTGGTTGACTCTGCCCAGCAGTCTGGTTCTGCCTCTGCTGTTTCTGCACAGGGCAGGAAAGTTAGCATGTGGTCGACAGAGCACAGAAGTAGAATAGATACGTTTAGGTTTGACTGGTGTTTTACTTTTAGTTTTACTTTTAAGCAGTTGTTTTATCTGCTTTTACTCTCAATTGGCAGATAGTTATTTAAAGCTGGTGTTTCTGAATGTTTTAGGGCCCTTTCAATTGTACTATGTAGTTGTTGTGGTGTTCTATGTGGCTGCCAGGGTATTTGAAGCGGTTGCTAGGCGATTGCTCAGGGGTTTTAAGTGGTTGGTTTCCATGTTGTTTACATTTAACTTGTTTGAAATAACAGTCATATAATTTAGTTGAAAGCTCAAGAAATATATTTAATAGTTGTGTCTCTCTTTAAATATCCTGATAGAGCCAACACATAACGCTTTGTAACTGATCACATGTGAGTTAAAGTAAGTATAAACAAAGTAAAGTAATACTACAAAATACTATTGAATTTGGACTGTTCTGATTTTGTGCTTTTCAAAGTTGTGATGACCATTTTCTACTGCTTCTGACACATATTGTGAAAATCTGTGGATGGATCAACAATAAAAAATGAATCATTGGGTGCACGACTCTTTGACGACAACTTTTCTACCACAATTATACTGAGAAATAAAAAACATTAATTCACTTCTTGCAGAATTACATTTACGTTTAATGTACTGATACAATCAACCAAAACAAAATAGGTTTGTCAAACTCAAAATGATAAGTTTAGGTGATATCATCATAGTATCATATATTTATATTTATATACAGTAAATAAACAACAATATTATACTTGTTTACATCTTGATAGATGAGCAGGTCTTATTTATTAACTTTCCACCATTGGGGCTCCACCCCCCTTCTCCAAATATGGTTACTTATGGTTAACGAATCCAAGATGGCGCTGGAATAAAAGTTAAACTGATGCTTCAAATCGGCGGCTCACAAACCAACGGGCGACGTCACGGTGACGGTTGATACTTGAGTGCAGCTTGGCATCCTCTGAGTTTGAATGAGTGGAACATGGAGGATGTTGACATCACATTACTCGAGAACAAACCAAGAGAAATGGCTGAATATCCACTTAATTATCAAACTAAAGCCAAATGACAACTTGTGTTGCTGCTGTCATGGTCCTCTTCTCCACAGAGGCAACACCACATCAGCCGATACGTCGGTCAACTCCTCCTCCTCCGTCAGCCCTTTGCTGCCTCGACTTGTCCTCCACACGGGACACCAGCGATGTACCTCCCTGACCTTCCCTCTGTCCAATACACCTGCACCTGTTGGCCTTGTCCCTAGTTGTCACTTCTCTTGTCCTCTGGATTCTGATTCGTCCAGGGCCAGGAAATGTGGGTGGGGACCAGTTACAGCCCCATTAAGAAGGATTCATGTAGCTACAATTAGATAACAGCCAGTTGCTGATCAGTAATATTCAAACAGTTTGGCACATTTACCATAAAACTTTTCATCACAGCGTTCATTCGCTAACCAACTGCGTACGAACTCAAGGGCACAGGCCCGGGATTCAATTATAGAATTTAATAACACACTCAAATCAATCAGATTACAGACGTCATTTATTCACATTTTAATTGTGTTTATAGAATATGACAGGCAAAATGTATCTTTGTAGCCCCTGTACCAGAATTAAACTGTATACAACCTCAAAATACAGTCTGTCCTGTTGTACCTGAGACAACCAACTATTACTGTCCAGAATTAATAAAAAAAAAAAAAAAAAAACTGAACAAGGAACTTATCAAGCTCAAATGACAAACATCTGCATTAAAATTAAAAAATGTAAAAATTCAGTGATTAAAAATGAAAAAGATTTACCTAAAACCATTAAGAAGAAATTTGAAGCCTCCACACTATTTTTCTAAATTGTTTTAGATTTGTGATGACTCTGCTCTTTTCTGATTGAACGGCTCAGAACTCGTCTCGTTTTTGGGCGGAGCCATTGAGCACCTCCTTGCTGATGTTGATCGTAGCTCTGATTGCAGTTTTCATAGACGTCTCGATCCAGGCGTGAGGGAAGCCTGTGTGTTCCCCGGCAAAGTGCACCCTGCCTTCACTCTTAAAGAGCTCCTTAGAGTACTGCAGATGTTGGAAGGGTGTGAAGAGAGCGAAGGCGCCCAGGCTGTAGGGATCCAAGCTCCACTTCTTCACCACCACCCCTGTGCAGAGACCTCTAATGTCCTCGCCGTGGATCGCAGCTAAATCTTTCAGAACCAGCTCTTTCAGGTCTTCGTCACTCGCTCCCAGGAAGAGAAGCGAGTTGTCAGACCAGGTGTAGGAAGCCAGGAGGACGCCGATCTTCTGGTTTGAGAAACTTTGGCTGGGGTAGTAGATAAAACGAGAGGGCCTGTCAGTGATGCTCTTCCCTCCTTTGATGCCCTCCCTCTCCCAGAACTTCTCACTGAAGGTGAGGAAGACTTTTGTAGCGCTATCATAGTGGACCATCCTCAGGGCCTCCATCTTTTTAATGGGGAGAGGTGGATTAAAGTCCATGTAAAGGACTGCTTTGGTTGTGGTGGTCACCAGGACAACGTCTGCCTCAAGGGTTTTCAAAGGGGATTCTTGGTCTTTCTGGTACACAAGGACGACGCCTGTCTGTGTCTGATGGATTTGCTTCACCGTTGAGTTCAGGAGAGCAGGGGCATCAAGCCTCTCATGTAAAGCTTTGGGGAGAAGGTCCATCCCGCCTGTTATTTCAGTGTAGCTTCAAAGCAAAAAGACATTTTCTCATTTAATTGAGCATATAAATGAATAAATTATTTCCTTGCTCTTGAACAGAAAGTGTGAGAAGTCAACACTGTTATTTATTTGAGCCTGAGCATCTCGTCTTTGCATATTTCTGATCCAACTAAATTGAATAAACATAGAAATCACAAAACTATTTATACTCAGGATCTAAAGAAAGAAAAACAGTGAATTTGATAAATTGCATTCACAATAATATGACGTCACCAAGACCTTTGACCCCTGAAATTGAATCTGTGAGTCGAAGTGAACAATTTTACCACATTCAAAGACACTGAATGCACTGATTGTATTAAATCATATGTAAGTTAATGTTAAAATGGTCTCAAGGAGTTTCTGAGTTGTTTCATTCAGGAGACCTTGTTTTGTAAAGTCAAAGTGACCTTGACTTTTAATCAGATCTTGCTCCTTTCTATGAGACCCTTCAATTCAGACACATATTCATGTCGGTAAGTCTTACTCGGTGTGGTCGCTGATGTCGTTGGTGTCGTAGATCATCTCAGTCAGAGCCGTGTGCATGAGGCTGTCTTCGTTGAGCAAGTCTCCGATCATCCTCACTGCTTCGTTGCTCAGATCACCTTCTCTTTTGAGATAATCCTGTGAAAAGGACACAAACGTTCAGTCACTCCAATGAAACATTAATCTTAAAGGAGACATGTTCTGAGTGTTATGACTGTAAAATGTCTTCAGGAAACTGTCCTCAGACCGTCCATCGCTGCAGCTCCTCTTTTCAGCCCCTGTCTCCAACACTTAGTTTTTGGTTCCTGTCTCTTTAACCCTCACCCTCTGATTGGTCAGCTGGGGCTCTCTTTGTGATTGGTCGACCGATTCCAGCTCACGAAGGAAATGTCGGCCTCGCTCTCGCTTTACATGGCTTTGTTTAGGAGGCGTGTCAGAGTAGCCACCCACCAATAAGTATTGAAATCTGACATGAAATCACGTTGTACTTTACCTTCACAGAGTAGTGGTCGAACTTCATAAGAGCCTGATAACAGCCATTTGTCATCACTTCGTCTTTCACCTGCAAAAAGATCAAATGTACACTCAACTCACAAAATGTGTTTTTTATTCAAGTGTACTTGATATAAATGTTTTAAATGTTTAATTAAATGTTTATATATAGAAATAAATCAATATATAACAGCTCAAGGTCTCAGTGACTGAGTTTACATGGATACAAGTATTTTGATATCAGCCGGACTAAGACGCTGACCAATTAGCAATTAGCATACAGATGTGGGCCACTTCTGGCCATGATGCAACATTTCTGACCTTGTTGTGGCCAAGACAAAATGGATGTGACTCACTCGTGAAATAGCAAATGTGGCCCGAATGTCCCGAAACAAATGTGGGCAGCTTGAGGCAAATCTGGGCCCAAACCATTTTTAAATGTGTGTGACGTGTTTTCTGATGACCTTAAACCAATAAGGTCAAAGTTGGAATAAGCAATAATCAAATTGAAACATGTTCTGACCTTATTATGTGGATGTATACATATTAATCATAGTACAACGTCCAGTAATAAGACGTAATGTTGACATGACTCAGAATGAAACTACGTTCTGTAACGAAATATTTATATATAAACTTATATAACCATCATAGTCTAATCAAACGTTTTACTCAGAATAAGGTCAACAGTCGGAATAGTTGTCTATGTAAACGTAGTCACTGATGGAACTGTCCATATGATTAAGACTGAGAGGAATGAATCAGTTAAGGCAAAATGGATGAATACATATATAAGACAATCTTTCATCTCATGCTTTTGGCTTTTACTGTATATTAAAGACCACGTGACCCGTCCTCATGCTTCCACACCTTCTGCAGAGCTTTTTGTAGCAGCTCGTCGGCCGACTTCCCTTTCTCTTGTTCCTCCAGGTTATACCCCAGGATGTCCGGGTGTTCATTCACTTCTTTCGTCCATTTCTTTATCTCATTGACCAGGTAATAGGTGTTGGGGTTAGTCATTATGAACTTATTTAGCTTGAGTTCGAGTGACTTCACAAACCAGTGGAGGATTCTGTCGAGACACAAGGTCACGTAGCTTGTGACTGTGGAAAGTTTGCAAAAATTTAAGGTGAGAAGGTTACAAGACTTTTATTTATCTATATATCTATACATCACTTAATCACATTTAGCTGAGAGCAGGTAACAAGATCGCTTCAACTGTCACAATCAGCTCCAGACAGTTGAAGAGTGAAGCTGATCTGTGATCAGTTCAACACACTGAGAAGTTCTTAACAACCAGAGTTTATCTCCAATGTTCAGCAGCAAACTTTAAAACACGAAGAACTCTGAACAGTTTGATGCATTTGTTACAGCAGCAGCTCTTCTGGTGCAGGAAGCAGAGGATCATGGGTAATATCCAGTGTTCAGTGGTGTTTCAGGTCAGTGGGAGGAGTCAGTCAGAGCTCAACACTTTGAGACACTTTGTTTTTTCTACACATCCATGCTGCCTAAGAACATTAGCTAACTAAAGATAGCACGGAAAACAATTTCTACTCACCTGTGAGAACTCGGGATCCTCATCGCTCCCTTCTCAACGTACCAGCCCTCCGTTTCATTCCTGTGGGTCTCCACTCGTCCTCCCACACGACCACTAGCTTCTAATATGGTCACCTTGTTCAAACAGGTACATTACGAGGTTAGACATCATATTCTGATTTTATAATCAAAGTGGTATTTTATTTTTTAAGTTCTTTTTATTGAATTTCACAATTTACACACACAAACCAAAAAGGACACCCGACAACATCCCATCCCCCCTGCCGTCACTCAGTCGGCCACACTGGCTCCCCTTTGCTACCGCATCCACATACCTCAGTATATACACAATGACAAACCATCGTAATTCAAGGCACTTCGTTATGTGAAATGAATTAAGAAAACTTTAAGAAATATATAAGATATCTAAAACGGTATTTTCTGTCAAAAATATACTGTTAGAAGAACAAAGGGCTTTAAACTCTGGATTATATGAAACACAAAGGTTATAAGTGTAGATTAGAAGTGATCAGTAAAATCAGGTGTAAAACATCCAGTGTAAAGAAACTCAAACAGAAGTGATGTCGTCCACAACTATAGATTATGAGGAAAGACAGACGAAGCTTCTTCCATCTCAGATACGGTTCAGTGGTCCACTCCTCAAAATATCACATGGAACACCCAACATGTTGCAGCACAGAACCAGCAGGTGGCGAACCTTGATCAGCCGGTATGTTCCGGATTGTTTCAGTGTTTCTCTGCCCCTAGTGGTCAACAAAAAAATGTCAGCAGCATTAAATGCTCGACCTGCTGCTCGTACCTTGTGTCCTGCGTCCTGCAGCAGCTTTGCCGCCGTCAGTCCAGCCATGCCAGCTCCAACAATCGCAACATGATGCGGTGTGTGTATGCGGGGGAGGCCATCCTGCGCTGTCTGCAGCAGCTGATCGTAGTCTGCGTCCTCCAGACAATCAGCCAGATGCTGCTCCACGCTGAGAGCAGCAGTCTGACTGTGGTACATTGTGAACAGCAGCACAACATCTGGAGACGACAAAGAGAGAATGGAAGGAAAACTCATATCAAAGGATTTGCATCCTCTTTGATATCATTTGTAGATATCATTCATCTACTTTAGTGTTAGGATATGTCTGTCTTTATTTGTTGTGCCTGTGCACTTTACTTTTACTGTAGTGTGGAAAATGTCTTGTCTTCACCGTGGGATAGTTAGGAATGTAAATTCCATTCCTTTGTTTGCCTGGTATATGTGAAGACATTGACAATAAAGCTGACTTTGACTTTGATAGAAACCTTCACAGACACAATCGCAGACTGGCAACATGGTTCATCACCATTTTTCAGTTTCAGGAGACAGTAAATAGTTTGGTCTACTTATATTCAAACATTCAGACCAAATAATAAAAATAATAATTAAATAAGGTTTAAAGGTTTCTTCCACATAAAGTGACAGTTGCTCATTTCAGCAGAAACCCGACTGTATCCCGGTGTAATAATATTGAACAAATGATAGATTGAATTATTTAAGTGTAATGATAATAATCAGTGTGTTTTATTTCAAATGATGGAGTTCCATGTAGGCAGGAGAGCTTAGTCCACCTCTGTCAGGCAGTATGTGATGTATGTCTTTACAGAGGTAATGTCACCACGTTCATTCCCTCAGACCGTTGAAAGGTTGAAGCAAACAGCGAACACTCGTCAGAGGAGACGTCTGACACCTCACAGGTTTCAAACTTTATCCAAATAAAAGAAAATACTCACAAATTGTACAGTTCAGCACACGACGATCCATCTTGGTCTGGAAGCTGGAAGAGGAAAAAACATTTAATCCCATTGATTGACACACACACGCCCACACAGACACACACACGCCCACACAGACACACACAGATAAACACTTCTCTTTCTTACCTGTTGAACAAACTCAGACTGTGAGTGTTTGACCTGAGGAGGAGTCATCGTGTCTTTTATACAGAATCTGTCCTCTCGTCTGATTGGCCAACCAGAGAGGAGGTGAATTAACGACTTTCAGATGAAAATGACAAATCGTTTCTCAGGAACAGGACGACAGAATGAAGCAATGGACAGACATGTGATATCTTTACGCCCCGATGATCCGTCTCATTGTGAAATAGTCAGAACATTGAACCTGTTGATTTATTGTAGAGTTCCTTTATTTCATGAGGGTCATGATTACAAATACTCTGGTTGTGTGAAGTTTGTCTGTTTGTACAAATGAACGTCCTCGTGGTTCAAACATTTTATCTTCGGAGGTGAAGACTTCAGCTGCTTCCTCATCTTCTTCTATGGTTTAATGTGTCTCTACTTCCTGTGATTGCTTCAACAAAGTGTTTTCACTGTGAACCAACAGAACCAGGTTCAGTTTGATCCAGACCCAGAACTCCTCTTCTGGTCTGAGGAACGTTCACAGCTGAAGTTCAGCTTCAGACTGAAGTGACGAGTCGGAGGAAGTGTCAGACACACGGTGTTTGTAAGAAGTCAGAAGCTAAAGATCCACAGAGTTTGGAGCTCATGCAGGATTTACAGCCTCATGAGCCTGAACCATTCCCAGGTCCAGGCTGCTGCCAGAGTGCATCCTGGGTTTTATAAGAACTGGACGCCTCATCCAACTTCATCTAAGATTCAACTAATGAGTCAGACTCAGCAGATCATCTCACTCCGGTCATGAAAACTCTACACGTGAAGAATACAGACGACCTGTGCAAGAGTGAGATAAGAGTTGAAATCCCAGTCTTCCAGGAAACCCTCACAGTTGCAGAGCCAACACCCTGAGGGACAAGTGTAGAGTTAGTAAGTAGGTGTGTGGTGTGTGTGTGTTTGTGTGTGTGTGTTTGTGTGTGTGTGTTTGTGTGTGTGGGGGGGTTGTTCGAGGGATGCCATGCAAATACTTAATATCAACAAATACACACGCATGAATCTGAAGGTGAAGTAACAACACTGTGGTTCGTGTGCAGCAAACTGACTTAACTCGGTTTCTCATATTTTCTCACATTGAAAAGTCGAGAATCAGGTGGAAAAGTTGTGAATGAGATAAAAACATCCAAAAGAAGTAGAAATCTTGGGAATAGAGTCAAACTCAATGAGAGGGACATCGTTAGTGTTTCATGAATAAAGTCAAAAGGAATCAGAAGATTTCAACAGTTTCATGTTCAGTGTCTTTAACTTCCATCTTTTCATTTATCTGCTGAAACAGAAAGAATCTCCTCGTCACTAAATCTTATTCTGAAGAGGTCGTGTGTTTCTGAAAGTTTGAATTGAAGTCATCATTTTATGACAAAGAAGTCATCATAAAGTATAAAACTATACTTAGGATTGAAAATAAGAAAACATAGAATCTTTGAGCTCGTCAGCGCCACAACACTTTGATCCATTCAGATTAAAAAATGAAAGGAAATTGAATTGTTCTCAGACTTTACGACTTCACGATTATAATATTACGACTTTATTCATGTAATTGTAAGGACACACTTATACTTCTTTTCTGACACACGTACAGTATAGTAGATATATATATATATCTATCTATGCAGTAGCTCCACCTGAGCTTTGCAGTACATTTGCACAGCTTCGTAAACACTGAAAGATT